AATAGTCACCTGTCAACGAAAACCAGTATAACATCAAAGAGTGAGGTGCCTCCGTCACTTGTCTATTCCCTTAGGCTTCAGTTTAATACAGCATATTCACTACAACACAAGCATTTCCGACTGGTGAACGTCTTCTATTGTCACACTTGAAAAGTCGGTACTAAGATAGCAAGGGTGTAGTTTTTCGTTGAACATTGAAGCGAATTCAATTTACTTGTCAGTGGTTCGCAAGTGATACATGACAGAAGCGTTTCTGATCCAAAAATCCGCTTTTTCGACAGTTTGAGCAATTCATTTAATTCATTGATGCTAGTTCTGCCACTTTGGAGGACTAATGGGTCTGAATATGCGTCACATCCCCGTGTACTATTAAACCGTCCTTTCTAGAGACTTGTTAGTTTTTCATTTGTGGAATTGATGTGTGTGACTCTTCCAAATTTGAAGGATTATCCATATGATTCTTCGCTACACCTTTCAGGATTTGCTTCGGTTGACGCCATTTGAAGCTGAACAGTGCAGAAGAAATAGCCTTCCATGCAGCTAGAATAGCTTCAGATTTGGTGGGCTGGTCTAGGTTTGTTGAAGGAATTATGGGGATAGGGTTTTATGCTTACAAACTCATTGCACCGATCAACTCTTTGTGAGGACAACGATTTTCATACTGCATGATTTTTTACTTCACTTTATCTACCGTTCATCCTTCAGAACACGCAAGAATTTCTGTTCTATGGATGGTTGGGTATGCTGAGTCCTTCAGTACTTTAGGGAAAGTTGAATTCTCCTCAAAGCTGGATGTTATCAGAGTGAGATCTTCATAAAACGAATCTTTTTGCGTTGCTTGCCTCATTCGGGTTTCTCCAGCATAGCTTCACATATCTGCCTTCACTAAATTCAGTTTGTTCTTCGGCCATCCTTCGAATGGTATATCATCAGTTTCGTCAAGCTTGCCAAGTCTTCCATTTTACAGACATCCTATTCTATACGTTTTCCTTCTGCTCCGCTACAATGTACTGATATACATTGATATGTTAATTCAGATCCAAGATTGAACTGCCTAGCATTCAAAACCATGCACCAATGAGTTGGGTAGAACGAGTTCGGAGTCCTTGCCAAACCCCCACGCAATAAATAAGTTCCATTTCTGGGATAGAGTCACGGGCTACTGACAGCCTTCGGCGTTTAAATCACCTATCGGTGCCCGCTCACTCGAGGGCTGCGTTTAGGCAAGGGACATTGTTCATTCTCATTTGCCAATCCAATCCCGAAGCGCACCAAATACTCCTTCCAGAAATTCCGAATATTGAGTAACTCGAACATTCAAAGCTCGCATAGATCAATGACTCTTGGTGGAAAGTATCGACTGAATGACTCCCACCTTTTATTATAAAAGATACGGCCTTCCCCTTCAGAATGAGGTTGTGAAATATAGGCCACCACAAACATAATGAACACCCGCTTACTCTTTTATTCAAGCTTACCCTTGTGGGAAAGTTGCTGAAGATCACAAATTCAACCCGTGTTTACATCGACTGTCCTTTGATATCCCTGTCTAGAGGGTCTATGTGGGCTCCAGAATTACGCCGTCAAACTTTCCGACCTTTCAGAATCTTTCTCAACCAGAAGGGGTTGCTCTTCTGGGTTCCAAATTTAGGCTGTCGAGTATTCCTTATCTTTATTCGTATTCATGTTGAATCGCAGTTCCGGATGTCCTGATTGCAAGCGGCATAGAATGATACATTACGCGCCTTCAGAGCCATGTTCTGACATTCGAAAATGGTGAGATTTTCTTGATGAATCGGTTTACGGTTAACCACCCAGAAGCTTTGCGGGTGAAGAGGGGTTTTACTTTGACCACAGAGTGTTAGTTGAGTATGCCGTAATCCCATTGTTTCTGTGCATGGTGGGCATGTCTTAAGCCACATGGAGCTCTTGGTTTAAGTAGTATCATAGTCGTAATAGTTAATGCACCTGCCGTTATTGATAACCTTTCCAAAACCATCTCCTTACAAGGAAAAATTCCATCTCCAGTTTCATCAGTACTGGTCATCTGAAGGAAACATTTCACTGTGCTCACACTCGTGTCACAGCAGAGCAAGGTTAAAGCGCTGGGCGCCTCACACTGTGAATGAATATATCATGACGGCAGACTGTTCTTGTTCTCTCTGTTGACTTTTTCTTTCCTTTCTTTCTATCTTTCCTTCTGTCCGCAATCTGTAGAGGACTCCGTTCAATAGTTCACCCACTGTAGCTCTCAGGGTCTTCATAGAACCTAAGTTCGACCACAACGAAATGGTGGTAGCCACAAATTTCCATCAAGTATATGGCACAGATCAATAAATGCGTCTGGATAAGTCGACGCGGTAATATGACAACCACGTGAACATCGTTCAGTATCATACACAACGGATAATGTGTAATCACATTAATCACAAACCACAAGTTCCACCGCAAATGACACTGCATAATCGCAAGGGACCAATTGAAGTTTACTCCAGGTAATCATACTAGCAGCTCCCACGAATAGAATGGTAGGAAAACTTCATACGCTGGCAATGTTGCGGAATATAGGTAATTCGGGTTTAATTGTTTGGTTGCTTGTCTGTTCTACAAGCTAGGCAATTGGACGGTAACCACTTCACCACGAATCAAGATGACGTTGTGAGTGACACTGTCAGCTGATGATCACACCTTGACTGTTAATGAAAAGTCTGAAGTTCAGCAACCACGCCCCACGAATCGACTAACAACTGAAGTTAGACGCTTATTGGAATGCGTTTTACATCGGGAATAACGCTCAAGTGCAACTTTATGGCGAGAGATCCAAATAAGTCCCATTCGAATTTCTCGTTTCTCATGTTTTCTGGTTGAATGTTCTGCACAAAGGCCGCCTGATTCATCACTTGGGACGAAATTCGAGATATCGCAGTACATGGTCCAGAAGAAAAATAAAACTGACGGCAATTCGAGGATTGTGCTTACTTGATGAGCCCTAAGATGTTCATTAGCAGTTGTGGACTTTTGAATGGTTTTCGGCAAGTTTATGAATATTGTATTCTGTCCAGACCACTTTGCGTCACTTACTTAGGTTAGCGATTTGATTGCCAAGTCTCCCAACAAAACCACACCCAATTTTAGCGAATATACACTCATCTGCAAACTAATTTGGTTCTTTCGAGAGACTCATCTGGAACCCAGCTGAATCTCTCGTTTATGTTCTCAGGCAACTGAATGTGCTGCACCAGGCCGCCTCATGTTTCAGTCGATACGATATTTGAAATATCGCGATACATGTATATTTGTAATGTACCACTCATAAGGTTGGGTTCCAGGTGAGCCTCTCGAAAGAACCAAATTAGTTTGCAGATGAGTGTATATTCGCTAATTTCGTGCAATTTGGTTTCAAGTAGAACATAAGGTTGACGGAAACCCGGGGACTGCGCCTACCTGATGAGCCCCAAGGAGGGCGAAGCCGGTCGTGGGCTGTCGGTGGATTTTCAGCAAACTTATGAGTAATGCATCACACCCAATTTTCTTTTTTTCACATAATAGCATCCTAATCAAGACCAGAACGCTTAATACACACACTAAGCACTTGTATTTTACACCAATCAGCTGTCTGAACAATGGCCTGTAAATATTTCCACCTTCAAGAGACTGAAGGTTGCGCTGTACTATTTTCATCTTTAGTTCACATGACTACCACTATTCCTCCCCCTGCAGAAAACGCCACCCTGCAGATTTTTAGTTGGTTCCTCTTGAATCCCCAAGGCAGTTCGGTCCCCCCAAGAAGAGAACAATTATCGAAAGAAACAGCATCGATGAATTCTTTTACGGGGCCTTTGGGGGAGAAAAAATCAATACTTTTTCTTCGTTGAGGAAGGTCACTTCAAGGGACAAAAAGAAAGTGGGAGGAAGTTTAACACAGAACTACGCTACATAGGCAAAACGTGGTCAGTTTTAGATGTTTTGAACTATTTTATCCAGATGTAAGAGGATGAACTTTATTATCATTGTCTGTCTGCTGTAAATTTTCTGCTGCACACTTGTATAACTATGGCTTTAGGCTCTGAAGAGCATTTTGACGCACTGCAAGACGTTTGATGACACCTTGAAAACCTGTGTGATCACCCGTCAAACCCGTCAAACGTTATTAAAGATTCGTATATTTCTACAGCTTTAAACAGCTTCGATATTGCAAGTTGTTCCCTACTGGACATAAGGTCCAAAACTTCAGACACATGCTGAGGTCTTTGGCTGGTACCATTTAGTCTCTATGATGTGATTGCTGTCTAATGCGATGGTCATTACAATTGGGTGATTAGTGTATTACAGGTGTCGTGAGAAACGGTAACAATAATAGTCCACTAACTTCACTGTGTTATTATTATTATCATCAAAGGTTGAGATATTTACATGGCCGTTTTCTGATAAGGTTGATANTAGATGCCAGTCCTGCTAATACCAGTTAGGCTCTTCCCTGTGAATCAACTTTGTTCGGAGGGACTTCTGCACAATGCCAAAGTTAATTAAAGCTCAACAGGACTGTTGATTATAAATAAACCTACATTTCAGGGACGATCGTAATCAACCAATCAAAACGAGATTTATGTTTGTCAGTTAGCCATAGCACAATTTCGAGGGATCAGGACGTACTGGATTTCAATGAGCTTCATTGGTACGCACGACTGTGTTGCTGTCACCTTGAGTAGACATGCTTCTGAAAGTTTGTGCACATGCACTAAAAGAATCACGAGCAATCGCGGAGTGGATCGATGAAATGCTTGTCGGGTCATACACTCACCTGTCAGCTACGAGTCATCTGAACAGCAGTGGTGAAATGCACACCTGAATCAGGTGATTGCAGTACCAAATTGTGTCCTGGGTTGGTTGCACGCGCACGCATGTTGAATCCCGCTGTTTCTTCAAAGATACCCTCCAATAGGCATAACAGCTCAAGGGTGACCAATCGGAGACCAATCCAAGTTTAATAACTCGAAAGAATGGAAGGAAGAGTGGAAGTCGCGTTTGGTGATACACAACTCAAAGTCACACCGGTTCCCATGGACTACCTGACTCAATTCTCCATTATAGACACAAATCGAGATGGTCTCATTACCCGGCGGGAATTATTTAAATATGCACTCAGTATTGGGGAGGATATCTCTATGGTTGATGTGAGTTCATGTTTGACCGAGACTTTTACCATAGTGTTGGGTTTTTCAACAGTTTACGTTCAGAAATTAATGGCTGTTTTTTTCCTCGGGAGAGATTGAGTTAGCGTTCTCTATGAAATAACAGAAGTTTTGTTGCCTATTTGATCCAGAGTTTGGAATTTCTTTACCCAGTAGCCAGACCAGACTGTTAGTTTATTCGTTTTGGTGACGGACTTTGTGTTGACAGGTAAAGGGCAGTAGATTTCAAAAGGTGATTGGCTTATATAAGTTCTCATTACCATGAATTGAGAAGTTGTTGATTTTTGCATCACGTGAATTTGACAATATTATTTTGTCAGTCCAACAGTCATCACCAGCTCATTGGTTCAAACATTGTCATTTCATATATATATATATATATATATATATCGAGCAGTTGAATTTGCCGAATACATCGTTCGAATCAAAGCTGAGGATCGGGCTAGGCTCACCTACTTTTCATCCTAAAGCTACAGTGAACTTTTCTTTAAAGCCTTCTTGAATTCTTATGTATTCCTCTTGAGTGAGTAGTTGATCATAGAATACTGGTACCAAATGGACTGCGGTTGCTTCCAGCCTCTTTCACTAATTCACACTTGGACCATCGTCTTAAACGCGTAGCTCTCATTCGATTATTCTTTTCGGTAAACAAAGCTGCAGTAGCTTGAACCACTGCAATTTGATGCACGGTTCGTCGGCCGAAAGAATGAAATCAACTGTTCATCTACAATAGCAACTGACACAGTAAACAGGACTTGTGTCTACCCCACCACTCTCCCTCCATTTATTCACCGTGACAATAACGATAGCAAGGAAAACAGTGAGTTTTGCGTTGCGAATTATTCTAAATCTATCAGTTTAGGTTATAGAAGACGTCTGTGGGTGCTTAGAAATTGACATTGAGTATTAGGTCAGTCAAGCGAATAGGAACTTGACAATCACCTCAGCAAAACGTTGCCAGCTGAAATGAATTTGGGGCAGTATGAGAAGCGAGAAGTCAAATATGTCGGAATAACTGTACAAGCAAGTTTGGATGGTCTGGACCTATTCTAAATTCCGTTTGAAAGGAGTTCGAAAGACAACCGCCGAATAGTTCCTTGTTCAGTTCCAATCGAAGGAAAACAACGTCCCACTTGGAGATTAGTTTATGCACCACTGAGCGTTTATTGCGGGTGATCTGGGCATAATGTTTACAGAGAAAATAGTCTGTACAAAGAAAATTCTGGTCATTTTGACGTGCTGTGCTCTTGGCTCCTGTGGAACCCATCCATACAGTGCACATTATATATATATATATATATATATATACATATATATAATGTCTATCGAAGATGAGTTGGAAGCGGTAATGATGCCATAACGCATTTCTCAAATATGCACAGGCCGCAGTTGCTGAGCCGTTAGTTGTCCTGATGTGGAAGTCTCATGCAGAAAAATATTATTGCACCTTTGATTTCCCTAAATATATTTAATTATTCCCTCGCAATTGGCAGATATGTCAGAACCTTGGTAAAACGAGGGTAGATTTCTTAGGACTAATCGGTTAACATTGTGACAATGACAGAACTTACCATCCTAATTCGAATGACTGCGATTGGCCGAATTCGACTGAGTTCGCTTGTCTTTTTTGAACGCCCTTATACGAAGATGGTTTACACACCGAACAGAGTCGTAAACGTCGACCTGGTTAGTCTGTATCTGTTGGGCAATTGGTTACACCTCCTTTCCATTGATGAAACGAAACCCTTCCTTAACCGAATTCACCTGTTTTTGCGTCTATCTTAGACTCGTTACGCACCTGTAAACGCTCATGAGTTCTGCACCCCTAAACTACTTAACCAATTTTACGAACTTTTTAAGCGCGCTTTTTGTTCCACTTGAGTTATCATATGTTGGATACACACACCTGTCGGTAACTCAAAACCGTTTACAGTTTCATCCGAGTTCGATGTTCCTAAAGCGTTTTCTTTAACTTTTAGGTGTTGCACAAATTCATTTAACCATCCAGAAGATAGTGCTCACGATTTGAAGATTGCACCCCTTTCATATCCATATTTTTTGTCCCTGTAGCACCGTTTTTGTCGGTAGGTCTCAAGCCTTGATAGTCCTTGGCTTGCAACTTCGCGCGTCACTCAGTACTCCAAGTATTCCACACGGAAATCGTTACTTACATTCAACTTTATAAATTACAAAATTATTGTAGACCTTGGGATACTTCATTCTTATTAGGAACATACGGCTAAATTCACAGCGAATTTAAGCGAGTCAGATGGCAATAAATCTGGAAGATGTTAACCCGTCCTTTATTTTCGTGCGATATCAAGAGGTATCAAAACCTAGGTAACATTTGAGCCCACAGTGGTACTGCTTGTTTCATATTTTGGCAGGGAATTTTATTCTCCTGACAATGTGAGTTCGTAGTATAGCCGAAAAATGCTATGTCATCATCAGCCCGATCACCTGATATCTTCATTTGCGAGATGAAACGCTGGTGGGTCATTCAAGTCACCTGTGTCACGTACACTTTTGCGTCCGCGTTACTATAGACGGTAGGCTCAAAAGTATGCGGTACCCAAATGCGTGACCAGGTGAATGAGATGAGGTGTCAACCTTTCAACAATCCAACTGAGTGCAGTCTGGTGCGGACGAATTAAGTGCGTTTGCTCCTGAGCAGAACAACTGAAACCCCCGGGGGGCGAGTGCACTTTAAGGACAATTATGAGCGATAGTGCTTGCCAACCAATGTCCAGAAAGTTCAACAGTAGCTCACAAAATAATTAGTATACAACCTGACGCGAAAAATATGCCTGGGTTATTGTATCTGAGTTTTTCGTTCGGCTGTTGCAGAAAACGACATATTGAATGACATATGTCAAGCTAAAGAAACGATTTGGTTATCCTTCTGTTGCCGTGGTGATTGGTACACTGCATATGAACTTATGTATACGAAACGCAAACGAAAAGAAGGATGACAATAAAAATGATTCCATACCGATGTAGCATTAACAGATCTGGAGGAAATTGCCTCATTCGTTTTCAACTGGATTAGGCATCATTGTGTAGACTTTTCCGGTCATACGACGATGGACGATAGATACAGAAAATGCATTGGTTGGTGGCAAGCCCGAGAGACTTGTAGGAATCTATGTTGACTCACTTGCACAGACGGGCAGTGTGCTTCCGTCATTTCTTGTAAGTTATGTGGAGTGAGATAGAGAAATACCACAGTGGAAACTTGAAGTCGCAAATGTGTGCTAGGCACCAAGCAGTGGTGGTCTCAAACAGCCGATAAACAGTCATATGTGCTATCAAAGAATTTCATGGGTTTCTCTAGGCCAAAATTTCGTAGGTCCCTGCTTGTGAGCCTATCTGGTTGAATCACATGGACTGTCCTTGAAACTGCCGCCTATTTTCTCGCATTAAGTCGATGTAATACAACCTTTCGTTGGATATTATAAAGTCTATTTTAGATTCTTGAAGATCCTTAAATGAATGAATGGTCTCGTTCATTGAGAGTAGTACTTTTGACCTCTTGTGTTATCAGGAGAAGAGGAGAAAGTCAATGGTAGGCTAGTTGTTGACCTTGGCTGTGAAACGGACGCTGTGGACACGAGTTTTAAATGGATGTTTGTTGCGGCAAACTCCGTCCCTATGGTTCCCTTGTATGAAAAGTCTTGTTCCCACGTTTGAGAGGCGGTCACTAAAGCTGTTAAAAATGTTCATTGTGCTACTATAACCCATTTGAGCCAAAAATCACGATTGAACGATATTCAGCGGAAATTTCAACCATTCGACACTACTTGTTAATTTCAGGTACAGGGATATTCTGCGAATATCTCAAAGGGTTAATTGTTTTTCGAGCAAACCTTAGTGTCCAAAGAACCTAGAGTTTCACGGAAAATTGAATTTCCTCACACTGTGTCTTGTATTCGTTTGTTTTGGCTTACGTGTACCCACAAGTATGTGAATAGACACCACCTGGTTTTACGTCACAGACCGCGACCAAAATGTCGCCATTTCTTTCAGTTCCGAATTCGAAATGTATAGCAGTAGGTTTGGTATATCTACTGTCTGTGCTACGCGGCCTGAGAACAAGACGACATCCATGAGTATGGGATCCGGAAGATAGCAAATTTTCATCAGTATGGCCTGGGTAAGGCTGATTTACTGCAGATTTTACCTACGTTTCTAATTTGGTGGTGGAATAAATACTAGCTTTGAATGCAGCTACTTGCAGCCGAAATTCCGGTATTGTTGGATTTCTGTTGGTACATTCCTCCATTGTTTCTCTTTTCAAGGGTTGTTTTATGGCATGGTAAAGTTGAAGCAAAACCCTATCAGATCTTCATCGAGAAAATCAACTATTATAGTTTTACATTTGCTACTTTCTGCATCGCTGTATTGGGTAAGGTGAGAAAAGGTGTTGAACATTTTGCTACTCTTTGTTCTCAATTGAGGGACCAGAACTTTGTGCTGTTTTTCAATCTGAGTGTGCGTTTTCTTGAATAGCCAAACTGTGCATTCTTCAAGGTGATGTGATCAAGAGTTCAATGAGCTATTTGTATATTGTCAAAATGTATGAGATGAAAGCCTCCTTTAACTTTTAGACGTTTTGTGGACACCAAGTCCTAGATTCTTGTAACAGTCCAATACAGACACTGCCAACTGTACTCATCAATATTGTTCATTTAGAAAAACAATAAGCGTATTTTATGCTCATCTTCCACTGTTTTGCAGACTTATTTCTCTTTCACAGCACCCCTTGCCTTTCTCGAAGGGTTGGGGAGGGGTTAAATAGTGCACTTCAAGTGTGAGTTTTTTCTCTCTTCTTTCTTTTTTCTTGGTAAGACGGATATCAGTCTGTTTGCCATAGATATTGTTCATTCCTGCGGGACATAACCGTTGCGTATATCTGAACAAACCTGGAGATACACAAATGAAGTTTCAAATTCTCGGATTTCAAGACTATCTTAAATTTGTCC